CAGCATGGAGTCGTACATCTTGCACTGCATCTGACCCGTGCTCTGGGTCACACAGTTCATCCACAGGCCCTCCGTGATGGTCTGAGCGGTGATGATGTTGGTATGGATGAAAGCCGTCACCCTCCACATTGGCAGAACGCATGTCACTATTGCTAAGATAAAACCAATGACTCCAAGGGCAATGCCCACGATCTCCAGGCCCATCGACATGCTGGCTCTCCGTGTGATGACAGAACTAAACTGAAATACTGAGTCCACGGATTTTCCAACAAAGCTGTCAGTAAAGATCCTCCTTCTCTGTTCAGGTGTCCCTGCAAAGTGAGAGCACCTGTGAGAGGGTGTGATGAAGCTATGAGATGCTGCCACGAAAACACATCCTTTATAGCTCAAGGGAGCAGGAGGAGTCCCCCGGTGATGATGTCAACTGAAGGCAGTCTTCACAAATTAAAAACACACCACCTGTGCACATGTAATGGAGGAGGGCAGCTGGAGGCAGGGGGGAAAAGAGGGATGTGATATTGGGAGGGTGTGTCTAAGGTTGGGTTGGTCCCTGGTAAAATGGCAACCTCATCTCAAGGGAAGGAGAAGTTCTGTTTAAAATATTCACAAAAAAACAATTGCTATAGTTCCTTAAACATAAATACAGAGTTACATTATACATGCCATGGTTAACCGTGCTTGAGAACAAAGAGGTAGCTTCAGGCTACTTAGAGAGCTTGTTGTGAGTAAGCATAGAAACACAAACACACACACAATGGTGCAAAAACACACTCAGGCTATAGACTAACTGTCTCATTATTGAGCTTCGTTACTTCCTGGTTCTGGTCGTGTGGGTTTCTTAAACAGTGAGGATTCAGTGTTAGGAAAAAAATCCCAGAAGCTCTGCATGGAAACTGGTATAACTGTAACCAGAGCTAATAGGAGCAGAGGGAAAACACAATAGGCCGATTCTCTGATGCCTTGAGCATACAGACAGCGTGATCTTCACAGGATCGGTTAAACCTGTTAAGCCCCAAGCATGTTTTTTCAGGTCCCAGAACAAATGACTATATCTTAATTTCTGAAAAGGGGTGAATAAATAATATTTTTACTCAATACACAATGAAAAACCTGAGTTGGATGTAGAAAAGTCAGAATCATTATAGATTTTTTAATTTTAAAGTAAATTCAGATTGAACATAGTAAAAAAATATAAATTAGTTTCCGTCCAAAAGAAACCCATTACTTATAGTGAAAACCACCCTTGAATGATGGGATAGTAGACTACAAGCTTTAGGAATCCAAACTATAACATACAATAAGTACCCTGTATCAAGATTGATGTAAAACAAGTGACATTCAACCTTTTAGAGAGTTTTAGAAAAAAAATAACCCACTTCTGGGGTCATTTGGGTGGATTTTCCATATCTCTGGAACCCATGGGTTGATTTTGATGATTGACACCTCTTTTGAACCGTTAGAGCCAATAGAACCGAGGGGAGGTTCCTGAATCCACCTAAACATGACCATTAGTGAATGAGTGATGCGTAGCCAGAATGCCTAAAACCAGAAGCTCTTATACACTCTCATAGCAGCTATATATGAAAACTACTCTTATTGACATAAATGTTATGATGGATTATCAGTAATCATTTCAAAGAGACACAGAGACATTGGATTAACCTTCAGCTTGTGTGTTGTCTTTGCTTGCCTTCGCTGCCCTGAATCTCTGGAATCTCGGCTTTCATGATATCTTGTTTGTGCAGATCCGATGAAATATACAATATTTCTACCGTGAGTTATGTGCTAAGTGCGTTAGCACTCTTTCGCTTAGTGCTAATTCAGACGCTTGGTGTTAGAGTTGTGTTTTGTTTCGGTAAAAATTGTTCATATCGTCAGGTAGCTGAGTTTCTTCCCGTTAAGTGGGTATGACACATTCATAGTTTGTTAAATGTTAAGAAGCCCTCAGACGCTGTTTCTTGAAAGATGTTGCTCACAGGCTTAACAGTTTAAAGGCCAAGAAAGGCGAACTTGGCTTCAAAGATTTATTTAGTTCAGTTTTGATATTTTAGCCTGGAGGTAATTCAACCCCTAACCCCAACCCACAAGGGAAAAGTCAAAATATAAGAATGTATTTTCTGGGGAGCAAGAATGTAATCAGTACATGTCATGTCATTATGGTTTGTTTTTTATATATGGTCTCTTGTGTAGTTGACAGTTTGACCTGTGAAGCTAAATAACATTGTGTGAGATTGCAAAAGACACCCTTTGTCTGGGCAAATAAACAGGAAATGTACGGGAAATAGATTTAGTCATGTACCAAGTTGACAATTTGACCTGAGGGAAACACAAGGCGAATCATAAGAATGGCAACATTTTATCTTTTATGCATGAACAAGCTTAGCAGATTTCAAACTATCTCTCCTCTAGGTTTGACATTTCTTTTGTAAAAGTGGACATGTTTGCCCCGTGGTGGTACTACAGAAAAGAGACTATTTAATAAACTAATATCAGGATAATTCTCCTAGGGGCTATCAGCAATACAAGTCAAGTCAAGTAACTGTTTAGATACCTAGTCATGAATTTCATTAAGTAGCAAAAATCTGTATTGTTATTATTATTATTATATTATCCACATAAGAATTCAAGTCAATAGGATTACTAGTTAGGAAAATATGTTATGGCTTGGTCATGGTGGGGCAGATGAATTTACACCTCCATCCTTTAACAGGATTAACAAATAACAAACAAGTGCTGACGATTCATCAGTAACACAGTATCAAAGTGTAATGCAGTCATATTACACACATACTGTAAGGATCTTATTCAACTTCTGCTTTAACTGCTTGAAAGTTAATTAGATGCAATATAAAACAAGCAATATGTTACTGTGAGGGTTTCCTTTGTGCCGATTTCTGTTTACAATGCAAGCTTTGTAGAAATATGCTGTTAGGTTGTGGTGTTACGACTTCCACACCTACAAACTTTCACACACACATACATCCCAGATGGGCAAGAAAAATAGATGCACACATAGAAGGTTTCAGCTTAATCTTGATTTGGTTTGCTACGTGTAGGAAATAAATCAGCAAATGTGGGATAATATATTTTTAGAAGAACAACGCTTTGTTATTTAAACCCCTGTTGGTTAACATTCCTCTTAATGTAGCCGTTTGTATTCATGTTAAAGTACACAGTACTATGGTATAGTAGTGATTGCATAGTGTTTGTCGTAACTTGGCTATTAGACCATTGTGCAGATCATAATACTTTTACTGTGAGCGCAGTGAGATCAAATTCAAGTCTAGTAATCTTTGTCACAGACACTAAGTAGACCGCAAATTAAAAAGCACAGCGAGAGAAGAGAGTAAAAAAAGAATTTGGAGCAGAATTGATGAGGTGTAAAAAGAAAATGGGGCTGCAGTGGCTTTGATGTTTTTCACACAGCATCCCTGACAGCTATGCTGCATTGGGACTAACACTTTTTCTCATAATTTAATCCATGAATGTGGAGAGTCTACCTAGTTAACATGGAGGAAGGCAGAAAATAACCATACAGGAGCGAGCAGTGGTTCGTCTAAAGTGTGATTGAGTCTGAGTGGCTGCAGAGGTGACTCGCATACTGTATTCCATCTGTGTACTCATACCTAAATAGTTTTCAGAGTAATGTAGTGTAGCATTACCATATTTGTTTACATCATTTTATCAGACAGTTGGTGGCAGACATACGGTATAAAGCTGTTCGGCAACAGTATTCCTTTCTCTGGTGCATTTAATACAACAAAAATTATTCTGTTCTTTCTGTATGTCCGTATCACAGTTAACCTGCATTGTTCCTTTTAAAAGTATCATAAAGGCACACATATTCTCAAGAGCGCACACACACACACACACACACACACACACACACACAAGTAGACAGAAGAATGAAAACTAAAAATGTCTCTTTCCACACACAAACACACACAGTTCTATGGAGGTCAAAGAGGACAAACGGCTGATTACAAGGAGGAGGTTTCATAACACTTTCCACTGCAAGAGTACACAGAATTAGACACACAGTATGTGGGGCTTATGTTCTGTAATAAGGAGCGGGGTAAAAACCAAACAGAATCACTGTTTCTTTCTGTGTACAGAAAATCAGTGTTTTGATAAAGATGTTCACCTTTATATTGAACTGTAAAGGTCTAAGAGTTACAGGTTGACAGGCTTTTTACTATAATAAATTAGCAGAGGTATAACTTGAAATAGTGATAATATATCATGAACTAACAGAATATTCAATAACAAATAGGGTTGTAACGGTATCCGTATTCGTCCCGTACCGTCACGGTTCGGACGTCACGGTTCGGGGCATGCAGTCACACGACGAATACGCCTCTTTTTTTACGAGTGGGAAAAAAGTCTGTCATTCAGGGCAGTATCCACTACACTATATATAATCCAGGGGGCGGTATTGCACCTAAAAGCTGTTTGCCAGCCGCCCTTAAACAACAAATGAAGAAGAAGAAGAAAACGCAACAAAACGAATAAAATACAAGAAGAAGAAAAGTTAGTATGGCGAGTTCAGATAACACCTATGGATAACACAAAGGAGCTAGAACCCACCTGCTTATTTTAAATCAGCTGTTTGGGAACATTTCGGGTTCCCTGTGGACTACAATAACGATAAAGTGCGAGTGGTGGATCGGACGAGGACGGTGTGCCGGTGTTGTGTCAAATGATGCACCCCCGTCGTGAGGGGGCAGCACTTTACGTGGGGGCGGATTCGGACGGCATTTGCGTGGGGGGTTTTTTCTACGAAGATAATTAGGGTGGGAGTTCGTTAACTACATTTTTATTTGTTATGTAACATTTCGTGTTCATATGTCTGTCCTGCAGTGTTAATTATTTTTGTATATAATTTATTTTATACAATGACTTTTTATTCACTCGCTTACTCACGTTTTAGGTCCTAACCCTGTTGGGTTGGTAGTTTTTCTGTTGTATCTAATCGCCTGATATGCAGATTTACGCGCAAG